ATATATATATATATATATATATATATATATATATATATATATATATAAATAAATATATGTATTGACAAATAGAAAAAACTTAAGAAAATTGTACGCAAAGGAGACAAGTCTTCAATATTTAATTTGATTTCTTGTAAACTATTTTGTCCTTTTAAAATGTCTGAGTAAAGACACTCCACTCGACTTACGTACTTAACTTAATGACGAAAATGTTTTGCATGCCACTATGTAAATATTTTTATAGTGAACAAGAAAAATATTGACCATAATGTAATATGGGGAAATGATATTGATTTTGAATCAAGTTTGTAAAATTTCAAAGACAAAAAAGAAGAAGAAATGGAGATCTCTCTTTCAACGGGGAAATCTTGATTAACCATCCGGCCGCTCTTAAAAGATTTCGTTTGTTAAACATGTATTAGGGGTCGGCACCAAACTATTTTGATTGTTTAGACTATTCCATCTTATCTTAAAACTATCTATGTAAAGGATTAGGACTTGAACGTTTACACTTCCGTATTCCGGGTCCTGTTTCCCGTATTTAACAATTATATAACTTTATAACCGTTACTTATAGTTTTTTAAAATACCTCTAATCCTTCCATATTTGCTAAACACAGTAGTGTGGATAAGAAATGCCCTCGCGGTTGACAATAATTGAAAATCAACAAAAATAAGAAAAAATGTGCAGTTCCTGGATACCCGCAAACTTAAGAAATATATGAATGATAAAACGTTTACTTTTATTTATGCGCTGGCTCTCAAGAAAAACAAAGGCTGATTTCTGGCTCGGTAGATCATACTTTGTACAATAGCAAATGGAAGTGTGGATAGATGCTATTGACTCCACTCCCTGTGATGACAAAAAGGTCAGAAATTCCCAATTTTATTATAAAAGATTATAAAACCTGTCGATCCGATTTCAAACGTACTTTTTAATTTAAGCTGGAGAAACGACATACGCTATATGTTCAATTTTTCTTTTTTTTTTTCAATTTCATCCTAATTGGTTTCATTGTGGGGTACGAACTACATATTGCTTTTTTTTTCTATTATATGAACCAATCACTTGTGGGATGTGGCCTATTAGTGCAATACAGTAAGTACAGCGAAGAAAGAAATATGGAAGCGACCGCAGCCTATATCTAAGAAAAATTTACACCAAAAATTTCTAAGAAAAATTCATCTGATTTTCGTGCCCAATGGGTAAATGGTATTGTGTTATGTCTTTATTGCCTGAGCACATGGCCAAAGTAAGCTCTAACGCATTGAAATTTGCGACGGCATACACAGAGTTGACGGTCCCGACTCTTACTTGAAATACCAGATTCAACTTGAAAGTTAAAAAAAAAACATGTTCAGTCACGGTCTTCCTCAACTTTGCATACTTCAAGAATTTTAAAATTGGGTAACAGAAGACTAATCGAGGGATGGATAGAGATGATCGACTTGAAATGTTACATTACTCAAGGGCGTGTTTACAATATAGAAGAGAATCCATTACGGCTTCTTCTTCCTTGCAAACACTGCACATTAAACAAGCTTTCGGATGGCAAGTATAAATGTTCTCACTGAGGAACCTCAATTTTTTACAATATCTTTTGTGTTTTTCTTTCAATTCTCGTCCTTATTTGTCAGTTGTCCTCTTAGGCCACTTGTAGGAGACAATTTTCAGGAAGAACTTATTATTTCTGGAAAGGCCGGAGAGGGTTCTTTACCAATTCAAAAACAAGCAATCAAACTGATTTATGGCACACGGCAGAGGGATTTTTAAGTTTCTGTGATCTCAAGAGACGCCAGAATGACTAGTCAAGCGGGCTTAATGAAACCAGCTCACAATATCCTCATGATTCGAAATTGACTTTCCGAGCAATGTTAACATTTTGACGAGTGCCGCACTTGGTTACATAAGTTACGGAATCACTCTCTCTATTCCTAAAAATGTGTTGTCAAAATAGGCAAGACGCACTTACTTCTTCAAATTTCAAGTGTCCAATTATCCGCATTCTTGGCTTGCGCAGCATGGAGTATCTCAATTATTCCCATTCTTTTTATCAAAATTAGAAAGCAGTATTCTTTTTTCTTACATTTTCGTTATATTTCAATTTGCTTAAAAATTAAAAAAAAAAAAAGTCTTAAAAAGTTTTAGACCAACTGCAAAAAATACATGTGACAAAAGGTTTTCCAAAGTGTCTTCACAAAATGAAAGCAGCTGAAAGCTAACAATTGAAAAATGATATTATTTTTGAGCATATTTGGCATATAAGATCGATTAAAATTTTATTCATTCGTTAAAAAAAAATATTTTTTGTTTCACTTTCTTTTCAAATATTTTGTTATCATAATTGTTATCATAATTTGCTGCAATTTGTGTGAGAGCGCCCCTTATGCCCAATTTCCGATAATGATTGGCCTAAAATTATAATGCAAATGGACTTAGCTAAAGAAGTTCAGAAACTGAAGAAGGCTTTTAGGAGTAGCGCTCGTTCACAACGCAAGGAATTGAAAGAACGATATCCGGCTGTTCAAAGAGTTCGTACCATATACTTGGAAAAGGAATCAATGAAACTCGATGAACTACTTAGCTCCACGACAGACTGATTGTAATTCGGAGCAAAACAAAGTTTTTCTTGCCTTACTTTATAATTTCTATTAAAAATGCTTTGAGTGCTATTTGTTCCATTCACAATTGTTGTTTCTTTCAATAAAGTGCATCAAAGTTCGAAAAACCCTACCATTAAACGATAAAAGGGATCATATTACGTTGCTGCACTTTGACACTGCAGATAAAAAAAAAATAACGCAATAGAAAGTCGAAATAAAAAACTGAACAGAAAAAACTTAAATTTACTATTAATTACTAGCCAACATTTGTTTCTTACCCATACATAGGCAGCCACATAAAACTATGTCGGCATATATCGCACGATCGCGACTAAAAACCAAATTTTTCACATTCTCAAAAGTCGACAAAGCGGCTTGTTCATATACCTTGTGACCGTAACATAACCGACCGCAAGCACATTTAGGAGCCTCCATTAAAATGTCGATAAGCTCCCAGGGCAATGAATTGGTTGAGTAGGGTAATTTGTATTGGCAAACTGAACGGCACGCCAACAACCATAAAGGACTGGGAGTATTTAATTCCGCCGAGTTCCTCTTGTCCATCTCGTGTTCTCTATGCGGCTGAAAATTATTTCCCCAAACGTCCAACAATTCGAGACGTATACTATTAAAAGACGAAGGCAGTGATTCTAGTTGATTGCTGGACATATTAAGGTAACGCAAATTGTGCATACGTCTTATACCAAAAGGTAAACGTTTAATGAGGTTGTTGTTTAATTTCAAAGTGACAAGGTTCTCCAGTTTGATTAAAGGACGAGGAAAGAAAACCAATTTATTAGCGGAAAAATCCAATTCCTTTAAACTCTCCCGTAGTGTTTTACTATTTAACCAAAGCCAAGATTTATCAGCACATAGCTGGTTATTGCTAATATCCAATTGAGTTAATGATAAACGCCCCAATTCTAAGGGAATCTAAATGTGCGGAGAAATAAACTTTAGGCTCTTTCACATTCTTTATATGGATTAAATTGTGGACTTACCTTCTCGATATTATTGTAGCTTAAATTTAATACTGTTAGGTTTTTTAATGTACAAATTTCAAATGTAATTTTACACAGCTGTATACCTGTGACAGTTAATTGCTTAAGTGTTCTGGGAAAGCCTTTTATGGGATAATCACCTCTATTCGTTATGGTCATCTTAATTTTCGGCTGAGACTTTTGTGGTATGCCGGTAGTTGCTGCGATATTCACGCGTAAATTTATGGAGCCTTTACCCTCGAGACCGAGCTTTAAAGTTTGCAAAAATCCCTTCAATTGTATTGGATCACATTTAATTAGCAGATTCTCCGCAGGCTCCCTAAAACTTATGGTGGCTTTCCCATCTTGCAAAAATTTTGTAAATATTTTCTCCACATTATTGTAGATTTTGTAGCGTGTGCCAAGCTTATTTTGAGGTGTAAAATGTATGATTTCCAAGAACTTTTTGCTACTTCCGCTATCATCCTTAGCAGTGCAATGATAACCAACCGCTAGCGTAGATTTCACCATTCGCGGCGTTTTATTTGTTTGAGTCTGTCGATTGATTACTTGAGTTTCACAAAGAATTTTCATGATGTTCGTTATACTTCATCTGTTCAAATTCTTTATGATATTTGCCGTTGTTTCGTCGTCTTATTTTATTTAATATTTAAACAAAGCTAGTGTTTTTGTGGACAAAATTTAATATATGTGAATACGTTTCCCTGACCTTTGTAAACAACAGCTGGTTCAATTGGCTTTGTTTTTCAACTGTAACAAGTTTTCTTCCCAATTTGAAAAGATCGCTGTTTATTAAGAGATAGAACTGACACAACAGAGTAGCCGCAATACCGTACAAAAACAAGTTGCAAACCAAACACAAGGCGAATTATTATTTGACATAAACTGGAATCGTTTTTGTTAAATTATATTTATTTTTTTAAAGCAACAACAGCTGGTTTATGGCAGCCTAATCGTTACAAGCGATGGTGAGGGTTAAAAGTTTTAGGCCACAAACACAATGATGCGTCATGCCAATTTTAGGGATGAAAATTTAACTTTAACGACTTTCATCATATCGATTTATGTGTACAAAACGCAGAAGAAGAAATAAAAAGAACTTATTTCAAATTTAGAAGTTATTATGCTCGGTAATAATTTATATCGTTTTTATGTTATACGATTTAAAATATTAATTTGTACCCTATTTTATTTTAAGGCAATATAGACTATTTATGTGCAATTTTAAATGTACTTGCCGGATCAAAACAGTTAAGCGAATCGTTCGGTTCGTTTTACTGCGTCAGTGGGGTCCATCTTCCTGCTTCTTCATTTAGAATTATTTTTCTTCATTCCTTATCTCACTAATCAATCAAAAATTTAATTTGCTATTACATAAATTTTCTTAACGTTGTTTATCATATATCTATTTTTTATATTTATGCTAATTTTTTAATATTTATTTCTCAAGCCATATCATTTTAATTTGTCTTATAAAATAACTTAATAAAGCGCATTGTGTGCACTATTTGAGATTTTTAACCTAAAACACGGAATAACACATCATTGTGTCGAGATCTTAATTGTATGTCACGTATTTTGAACGTTTGATAAACATGCTTGACGGTATTTGCCGCGAGAAACTTGTTTACAGTCTAAACAACGAACATTTACCAGAAATTTAGTACTTTAACTTACTACTTATTTATCCTATCTTTTCTTTTTTTAATAACTGATTTTATTTTTTTTTGTGCTCGCATCTGACCGCTTGCATTTAGCTACTTTTCCTCCTAATAAATTTAAATTTATCGGCGGATTAATTTTTAACAGTAGTTTAAACGAAAGAGAGGGACAAGACAAAGAAAAATTAAAATATTTTGCAAAACTTTATTATCTTGTGAAGTTCGCACCATGTTGTATGCTTTTAAAACAAAAAGATACTTCTATATGAAACGACTATTAATTATTAAAAACTCTTAATTTAATTATTATTATTATTGTTACTAATATTAATTAAGCCAGAGCAATGAATTGTAAGATTAAAGTCTAATTAAGTTAAAATATTCTTAAGTCAAATTGCGTGAACTTTATGTATGTATGCATTAGACATCTACAATTGCACATATATACAATACATCTAATTCTTTTTTACACGGTATATTCTTACCCGATTTTGACATAATACGGTTCACCAATAAGAACAAACGTATTTCTTTCCATGAATTTTCTTCGAAGCAAAAATAATTTTTTAATTTTGATTTTGTTAATGCTTTTTTTACGTCGTGAGACCACATTTTCTACTTCGTCCTTGCAAAAAGAATACAAAAGTCGATTAAGAAATTAGCAAAGGTTTACTTCTAAGTAAAAAAATTAAATGTCCCTTTTGGATGGCTCTTTGGATTTTGAAAATATTTTTTTAAATTTGGGTGTGTCAGTTCCTTTTTTTTTAATGCATTTTTGTTTACATTACAATTGCATGGAGTACAAACAGTAAAACAGGACTTATATAAAGATCCAATTTGTCCTTGAATAAGGCATGAGCAACCGCCGGCTCGCGGAACGCATCTGACCCGTAATGCCGTCGAGTGCGGCCGGTCATCATTAAAATTTCAAATAATTGAAATTGCTTTTCCATAGCAATGCTGCAAAAGTATTTTATTAGCCTTCACGACGGGTTCTGCTATTAAAAGTGAAAAGTATTTAGGCTTTAGGCACCGGTGGGATATGAAAATTAAAATTGGCCCGTTCATAAAAAAAAAAAGTTTCCCATCCCTGCTTTAAACCGCCATGCTCTGCCACATCTGAAATGATATCCATTCTCACATTGATTTTCTATTAAAATACTATTTTATTTTCTATTTACTTCCTGCGCATGCAGAATTAATTAATTGTTACGCTTCGCAGCTTTTTTCTAAATGTATGATTGATTTCTTATGTTATTTTGTAGGCTTTTAATGAACGTTTGTTAAACTAATCAATTTAGATCGCATAAATTAAACATAAAAGCATTTTTTGTCTTTTTTTTTCTGTTTTAATACTTTAAATATTTATTTAAAAAATAATAACGGCATAATACATAAATATTTTTAATTTAATAATAAAAACTCTTACTGAAGTCTTGTTAGAAGAAAAATTAGGAAATTAAATTTCTTAATTGCCAAGGAACAATGTTTATTTATAAACTAAATTAATAGTCACCGTAACCTTTAGATGTCATTTGCCATTAATTCATAAATTCTTAACGCAAAAAAAAAAAAAATAAAAAAATTCTGTGCACATTTCGATATATGTCGCATTCGATTGTAAAAAAAGTAATGCTTTATAACAAAAAAAAGAAGTTACTTCATAAAATAGGCTAAATGACAAAAATTAAAACCAATTTATATACGTTTATGGTACAAATTCAAATTCCTATGAATAGAAAAGTGTTACAATTATTATTTTCTATGTTTTCCTACTCTGCGCTGTACTAAGTACCTGAAAACAAAGTTTAAAAAAGGAAAAAAAAAAAAAACCAAAAAAAGCCTCAAAACTTAACAAAAACTCCCTACTCTTGTGCATGTTTAATATTTAATGTACAGTTAATCTAGCAAGAAAAGAAAAAAAAAAGAAAAAATAAATATATATATGAAAATAAATAAGAGATAGTACAGAACAAATGTAGAGAGCGCAGCAATTTGTTACTAGGAATTCAACGTTTCGTTAAATTAAAGTTTACACAAACAAAACAATAACGGAATAAATGCTCCAATAGCTATAAATACTGGTAAAAGCAAAGTAGAATCGTCCATCGAATATGGGTCCGGTTGTCGCGGACCGCTTGGCTTACGAGGACTTTCTGTTTTCGAAAGTAATTCATGGAATTCATCGTTAATATCTTCTTCATTTTCCGCTGCCGGTAATTTCTTTGGATACTCATCCGTTTCGGTATCTTCTTCATTGGAAACTAATTTTCTATGTTGGCCGTTAAGGGCCTTCTTTTTATTCGCACCTCTAATGGAAGCACTATCATCTATATCTGGATAGAAAGTGTCTTTATGTAAAGGCTTTAGCCGTGGTATACGTTGAACGTCCCCTTTCAATAATATGAAAGCGTTGATTTTCGGATTGTCGTACGGACCCTTCATGAAATCCAAACGTACCAAGTTATTGCGTACATTAGACACTTCCTCCTTGTACTTTAATTTACCCAAGGTAACTGTAAAAAAGACGTATTCATGATGGGCAGTGCCGTGACCCACTTCAGCGAATATGTCCAATTCAGACACTATAACATGACGACGATTTAAGACCACATCAAATATCTGAAAAGTTTAGAAAATTTAAACTTAATTTTTTTCACATATTTCCTTTCTCTTTTTTCTTGCTTACTTTTTTATTTGGTTGAGTAAAATAAACTTCGCAAAATTTTAATACCAAAGCATACTCGCCATCGCCATCCAGAGGAATATCATAACCGAAAGTGCTGGTATGATAACGCTCTGTTTTATAGAGGATCTCGTCTTGCTCTGGTACTCGATTTATAATTAGCAAATGTTTGCCATAATCTGAGGCCGTGCCAATCTTTGAAGGATCAGGTTCATAGTGTATACCATCAATATCGACATGGTCATCGCCTCCCGCATTTATTGCATAAAGCACTTTCAAAGCTTTACTACTATTTGCGGCCGTTCTTATAGTTTCCGATATACAAAATATGGCTATGAATACTGGTATAAATGAGTTCATGGTTGTAAATAATTTTAACTAATAAGTTATGATTAACTAAAAAAAAAATGAATGAATGAAAACAAAATGTATAATGGAAATGTTTAGCTGCCTTGCTTGGCTGTGCTGAAATTTTTGTGTTTATCGTTGGAATTTTTACTGGAAAAGCCGATTTTTAGTTGTTTTGTGCTTTCTTCTTTAGGTTTCAAGTTAATTTTTATTTAATTTCGACGTTTCGGCAACATGTCGTATTGATTTTCTTAATTTTCACAGAAATTATTTCAGTAGAGATTTGTTTATCTTTCGGCCGCGTGCCAAAAACATTGTTGCTAAGTCACTTATTTAAAAGTATTTCTTTGAATTTGATAGAGACTTAAGCGTCAAACACAATAAAAGCGCAGCACCTGCTAACAACTATATTTCCTAAAGCAGAGAGTGTTGCAAGCAGATCTCGCTCTTTCAAACGAAGAGGTAACGGCGATATATTTTTTAAACCGACCGATGCAGTGCAAGGGATATTTTGGAATAAAAGTAAGAAAGTACAGCGATCAACGTAAACTTTTTTCAACCCATATGCTGGTTTTTCCTGATGGAAGCAGAAGGTACTTTCGCTATCACACTCTCTTAATAAGATGCCTGCTTTGTATTGTATTCTGCTACCGTACTGCATTTTTCAGTTCGCTGTTTTTCTCAAAATCTACATAAATAAAATAAATGATTTTAAAGATTGCTGATTAATAAGAAATATTGCATTATTAATGGTAGCGAATTTATCAGTAATAGCTTTTATTGGCTTGCTCCAGCAAAATGAATTCTATCAAATGCTTATTCAACTAAAATCTAGTTATGCGGGCATTTTTTCATATCTCACGATTTTGCTGCATTAATGCAATGCAAGCTATTCAGGCTGTATTAGTTTTTTATATCAACAGGTAGTACAAAAAAATGTGCAGTCAATCACGGTCCAATACTTTGATATATAATTTTTACTATTGATCAATTACTGAAACAGAATTCTTTATATATATACCATATAACAACAGCAGTGGATGTTAATTTCGGTTTTTTACCATTCCGTTATTGCAAGTCGTCACAACACAGTTTTTACATTCTGTTGTTGATACTATCAATGCCCAAGTTTGATAGCTTGAAGCGTTTCATTCAGCCCGTTCCTTTTCATTATTTCATTTCTGCTTGATTTGTGTCAAAAATCCTTCTTGCTGTGTAAATAACATCCTTCACAGCTCATGACTAATTTACGCGTCATATCTTAATTTTATATTTATTTTCCCCTATTACTTTTGGTAATAAATTAATTATCCCCATTAGAATCTACAGATTAATTGTTGAAAATTCTTACAAAAAAAGGAACTGTCGTGAACATTGGTTTATTGTTTCTGGCAATTTTTCAGATACACATTTGAAGATATGGACTGAGATGGTCACCAGAGATTATTTTAGAAGTATTCTTATGTAAACATACAATCTTGGTTTTAAAATAATTGTTAACAGTATAAACCTATATCTATCCTATGAATCTGATTTTCTTCGTATAAAAATAAAATTTTGAATATAACTCCCCTTAATACCAAAAAAACAAGGTTCAATTTTATTTTTTATCTATGAAAAGATTATAAAGAATTTTTTTATTTAATTCCTAAACAAAAATCATGCAAAAAATGCAAAATTTCTCAATTATCAAAGTCAACCAGCATTTCTTGGATAAACAAATAAACTCGGCAAGTGTTTCAAATACAAATGTTGTTTGCGATGTTTTTATGCCATCTGCAACTTTTAAATATAAATAGGACATCCCTGTGCGAGTATTAGCAAACAAAAAAGATTCATGAAACAGCTGTTGCTTGTCGATCTATTATTTAATTTCCGTCTGGTGGCAACATTGACATATGTACACGTGCGACGTAAAGTTAGTGAATTTACATTTAAGGTTGATGTGAAAGCCGCTTTTCTTGGATCAATTTTACAATTCGGACTCGTTTTCAAAACTTTTTTTTAATTCTTCGAAACATTAAGAGGCTTCAGCTACAACATCTCCATTATGGATTATGAATTTCATCATTTAGCTGGCGGTAGTATTGTTGATTATGCGCCTGTTTATGATCCGGATGGAGAGTGAGTAACAGAACTACAAAATAGCAATGAGTATTTCCAGTGCTAATGTTTTCCTTCATTTTTTTTTTTGTACATTTCCATATAGGTACCTGTTTTTCATAAGTGGTGAAATGATTAAAATATACTCAACAGTTAGCACGCAATTAGTACGTCTTTTGGAAGGAGCCAAACATCGTCTAATTGATATTGAATTAGATATAGGGAATAAAGATACTATTGTAGCTTGCAGTGCTGAAGGTGAAATTCTAAGCTGGTCGTGGCATACCGCTGAACTAAAATCATCCGTCAAGTTGCAAGAAAAAAGAAAGGAAAATGAAGTCACTAATTTCAAATTGTTAAACTTATATGGACAATCAGAACTATCTTACGCTTTAGTATGCGTAATGGATAGTAAAACAAAGAAGGTTGAATGGCAAGTAGTAGATCGGACAACAGGTGCGAAGATTAACACTGATTGTAGCTTAAGGCTTATAAAGTAAGTATTCATGCAATATGCTAAAATTCAGGATATTTAATGACTTACTTTCTTAGCATGGGAAAACCTTATATTGAGGTAGACAACACAAATTTTCATAACTTGGTTATAGCCCAATATACTAATGTTTATTTCATCAATTATAAAACATGGAATTTCCAAAGGTAATACTAGTAAATAGTAAGTAAAATGTTTTCTGATATTCATGTGACTCTGCTCTCATAGAGGTTCCAGCGCACATAGGATCCCTTTTACTGCATTAAAAATCCATCCCACGGAGGAATGCGTTGCTACTGGAGATGAACGAGGTCGTATATATTTATGGCGTGAATTCGGTGGCAATAAGCTACCCCTTACGGTAATATTTTTTTTTTAAAAACTATTAAGTTGGTTTAATAACAATCACATGCTTCATTAGAGTCTGTATCATTGGCATCATACACCAGTTCGAAGTATTGCGTTTACTGTGTATGGTGCAAATTTCTGGAGCAGTGCTAGAGAAAAAGTTTTAGTTCATTGGAATATAGAACTTGAACAGAAACATTACTTACCTCGTATGGCGGCGGAAATTCTTCATATTGTAGTTAATCCTAAAAATGCTGAAGTTGCCGCTTGTATGGCGGACAATGGTGTACAAATTGTGGGTACCGATAAGCAAATTTTCAACAATCTGCAGGAATTTACATATGTCGCCAATGATAAGACGAACAATCCAAAATTTCCTGTGGGCTTACGTTTAAATCCACGCACCAACACTTTGGCTTTAAACGGTCGTGTAGGGTGTTTGCAATTTTATAACACTTACACGAAAAGTTTGATTTATAACGTAAGTGTTTAGTTCAATACATTTAGGAATTTGTTTGTTCACTTCATTTTTTTTTCTTTCCTTTTAATTGCAGCTAAATATTGTTAATGAAAATGCATTATCAACGGAGAGAGATCACATTTTATATGACACCCGAGTTACTAAAGCTGCTTTTAATATCGACTGGATGGCTACGGGTGAAGTGTTTAACGATGAACAACATTTGCCAGAGTTACGTTTAAAATTTTGGAAATACGAAGAGAAGTCACAAAGGTTTGCATTGCCACTAATGGAAATTTTATTTGACTAATTGAAAATTTTTGCGGAGTAAAAGCAATCAAAAAATTTATATCTGAAGGATTGATTATTAGTCGATAAATTGTAAGCGTAAGCCCCTTTTTTCTTGGCAGATTCGCGAAAATACTCATTCCCTCGATGGTAGTAATAGGGCCGTTTGGCAAGTAATAGGGCGAAACAATTGCTTTTCAACCTCAAACATTTATCTCAATAGCTGTCAATCAATAGCTTGTCTCAGGTAATACTGCGCACTTTTGCAGCAGTCGCACCCATAAGTATAGGTGCAACCTATCTGGTTCACAGTTATAATCCAAAAAAAGCTTCTATCTTATTTCGTGAAAAATGAAAAACGTTAATGAGATAGTTTTACAAGAAAACGTTTTTAACAAATTCTGCAAGTATTCCCGGGTACAATCTTCCAATGTCGAATTGTCTCTTTAAAATGTAAAGTTCCCATTTAGTTAACAGCTTCATGTATAAAATCAGTTTGTTGCGTAGAACAAAAATAGTCGTTCACAGAGTCTCACAAATTAAATTAAAAGTATGAAGTCTCAATAGTAGTAAATCAATCTGTTCCGAGAAAATTTCAATTAGCCTAGCATATGAACAAACTAAATGAATTAATTTTAACTTGCAGTTATACATTGAACACTGAGATTGAATTACCACACGAAGATGGTTTTAAAGCTATCGAATTTTCAAACGCTTATCAAGTGGATAATTTATTATGTGCTACAGTGGGCGATGATAATTTGATTAGAATATGGTCTCTTGAAGATTCCGATAGTATACATAGAAAGGAAAAGACATGGTGCTGTATTGCTCAAAATTGTTATAAAAACTTTCCAATCGAATCAATATCTTTTTCGCAAGACGGCTCCCTACTAGCTGCCGGCTATGGCAACACTCTCTGCGTGTACATATCAGAAACTTTAAAGATGAAAGCGTCTCTGACTACTTCGCCAGGTCTGGATGGCAGCGTAGCCAAAGTCCAAGTAAAATTACCATCAATAACCGTTAATGATGCTACGTCGGATATAATGAAAGAACGCAAACAAACTATGGATTTATTCACAAACATTTTGGAAACAAAGGATTACTCTTTATTAAAAGAGTTGAAGAATAGCTTGGACAAAGCTGAAGATTGTGTAGCCAATGCCGACATTTTTGAAAAGCTTGATGAGAAACAAAAAATATCATTACATAATCAAATCCTTCAAATGCATGAATTAAATCTATTTCAAAAGATTTTAATTTATCAAAGAATGGGAATACGTTCTTGTCTGCCCCGGGAATTGAAATTTAAAGTTTTAAGTTACTTTAAAACGAATATACATAGTAATCAATTACAAAGATTAGAGCAAATGTTGCATTCTTTAAATCTGAGGCATCGTTATAAAGCCAAATATCGCTTACAATATTTTACTAAACGGAAACGTAATTATGATGATGAAATCGCCAAAAATCTTGTACCATTAATGGACGTTTTACATTTAACGCGAGACGAAACGAAGGTAAAACGTAAGAATGGTTTATTGAACCGAGATCAACACGAGATTCTACTCAGTAGAGACATAAAGCCTCCAGAGGCTGCCATTGCTAATATTAAAAAAGTACAATTTGGTGCCGGTGATTATGCTCATCTAGTGGTAGCTTGTACAGAACGTCGTGTCTTAATATGGAATCTGCTCACGTTACGTTTACAATCTGTATTGAAATTAAGCGTTGACCACATCAGTTTCGATCCTCTAACAAATTTAATTGCATTGGTCACTCTGGACCGTCAATGTAAGTTAAAGAGCATTTCCAATGAATAAAACTCTTAATTATTTTATATTTAGTACACATTTTTCAACCAAATGTTCCGCTACCTGTCTATCAGCGTTATAATATGCCAAGATTATATGGTCTTGCTTGGATACCGAGACGCCATCCCAAACATCGTTCCATTAATGTTGATTGGCAGGCTCAGTCAACACTATATTTTCTAACACAAACTCAAGTAAGTAATGATAAAATGGTTTACTGCAATCATCCGAAATATAATACATATTTTTTTAGGAACTTAAGTATTTGGTGCATGCCAATGAAAAGCAAGATATCGAATCTCCAATCGTATTCGATAACGTTGCTACACCGTCCTTACAATACACAACTTTTGGAACTATCGCTACCAAGTCTGTTGTCGAGAGACCAACGAATACTAACCGATATACTGGTCCATTGCTGATAGGAAACTCTGAAAGAACGGCAGTTCAAGCGGTGAGTACAAGAATTCAATTTTATAATAAGTTAAAGAGTTCGCAGAGGTAAGAATTATTCCAAGAAGAAGATGCAAATATCGATGTTAGAGATAAGGAAGTGTGCGTGAAGTGATTGCATTTTTTATATAAATCTACATTTCGATTGGTTCGAAAGGCACACAAAATTTATTGTTGTATTTTAACAAAATGAATTGTTTTGTGGTGCGACGTTCTTTAAGACATATGCGCTTAGAAGGTTCTACCATCCATCCCGCAAATAAAGTTAGCTCGGATATTCTTTCGCAATATGATTGCAATTTTCTGACGTCCAAAGTGGACAATTTCGTTTTACGGTAACCAAGTGCGACATTAATTTCTAATGGTTTAACGAATCTGCTCTTATTGGATAGCGAATGAATCCAATTTGGTGTTGAATTTGAAGGGAAAACATTCGCTATTCAACCATTATCTCTTCATAATACCAGTAAGAAAAGGGAAGATTTATGTTCTAAAAAGCTTATAATGAAAACACCAAAGGCAAGGGCCAAACTGAATAGAATTTAGTTAATAGATCTTGTAGAGTTATGTGATGATAGTCGAATCAGTTATAATACATTTTGTTTGCGCCTGCGTGGACCGCTATTCAGAGATTACTCCCAGGAGCAATCATATAGCTGTGTGCTGGCCCATCTATCAATTTTTTTTTTTTTTTTTTTTTTGTGTAACCAATCACTCAGGGGATGTTCCCTTTTTGTGTAAGGAGATGATGGTCGCAAGGAAAAGAGAACAGAGAAAGAATTGGGGAGGTTGTTTTCGCAGCCTTGTGTGTGTGTATCCAATCGGTAAACGTTATGCCTTCTCTTTATAGTTACAAGAGAAGCAAATTCTACCTCACTAGAATCCGCGAACATTGGCTTGGTAATAACGACTATTACCTGTCTGTCTACTCATACAGACCAATTATAATATAACCTTAATATTACTTTTGCGATCTCAATTCGAGTTCGAAGACCGTTAAGCAAACCTGTCCACGAATTCAATTAAATTTTGAGATCGTTTCGATTGTCACCGCGCTTTTCTCTTTTAAATTTTTTCTTTTAAAAGCTTATCGGTTTAACTTTATACTTTTCGTTTTTTATATATTTAATTAAAAAGCTTACAATTTATACAAATGAACTTAAAATTATGAAGTACAAAATGGCTTTAAATAATTTCGGTTCGCTTCGAAATCCTTCGAAGCTTATTAATACGAGTCCTCAACTCTTGACTTCTACGGCACTTCCGCTATTTCGATTTAAGAATATTTTTTATTTAACATTATCAGTCGTTGCTTAATTAAATTTAAAATTTGAATTAAGTCTAGAGAAGAAAAGTAAAAATTTAAAAATAATTATTCACCCTGGGTTCATAATAGTGTCTCTTGCTTACTTCTTTACATTACTTTTCCGTGGAGCCATTGGAACTCGTACGTGTCTACAGCGACGCATCATCAAAATGTCGTGTTTAAAATAACGCAAGCAATGCCATTGCGGTACTTTCGGTAATAAAATCTCGCGCTGGAAATAAAACACAAATGACATTATTATATATATATATATATATATATACATATATATAAATATGTATCTATCTGTCAAGGTTGGAAATATCAAATTTCATTCAAAAATCACTTATAGGTTAAATTAAATTTCTCTGTTGTAATTGCCTAAGAATGGTTGTTTGCTTTAATAAAGTTTTACTTGGGAAGTTCTGCTGATGATGGTTGTTTGATTTATTTTCAAAAAAAATAAAAAAAATTCCGGTCAATTATTGTTAAGCATTTTGTTTTCCACTTACGCGTATCATTTGCTTATTGAGTAATCATATGCTTCGGGCATTTGTTGACGACTTTTGCGTTTTATTTCATCCAGGGAACACAAAGTTTATGCGTAATAACATATAATCGCATCTTATATTATAAATAGAATTAACTTTAAATTGTTTTGTTATGTTTTTTTGGTGACTTTTTGTGTTATTTTTTAGTTTCTTTTTTTTAATACGGTTTCAATGAAAACAAAGGTTTTGGAAACAATTCTAAACTAAAGAGTATATCAAGTTTTTCATTCCATTTATAATAAGCATAAGCAAGCATAAAAGTGTTGGCTTAAGTGGTAAGAGTTTCTTAAGCGATGGATGGATGAAGTTTTACTTGAACTAGACATGCAAGTGTCAAATCTTGTCATGTTGGAAGTGGAAATTTTCAGCGTTTTCTTGAAAAAACGCTTTTAAACATAAATTGAAATATAAATTTTTGCCTATTGTTTCCTTGAGCTTAACTTCTTAAGCAACATTTCGATCTAGGACCACATATGTGAAAGGGATATAAGCGAGGGGTGTATAAAAGTTTATTAGCATATATAGATATAATAGTTTGATGTTTAAAAGGATGAAATGTAATGAAGTTCGTTATAGAAGAAAGCCGATGCGACGCACCTCTCTCTTGTTCTCTCTCTTTTGCTTTACATATGAATGAAGGACCCTTTTAAACATCTTCCAGAATGGAAGCATTTTTTTTAGTTAATTTTCTGCCACATTGTGAACTTGACTTGGCTATTTGAACTGATATTAGAAGTATTATTTCACAGTCGACTTTTCGGTACTCCGTCAACTAGATTTCGTTATTTAATGGTTAGGGAATGCTCTTCTGCGATGAATTTGCTAATTTTGCATATAAGCAAAATAAAGTTTGAAGCTCCGTAACTAACTGCTTCGAAAACGTTGACCGAGTGATGATTTTGTTTTTGAGAAACCATTCGTTTCTTAAGCCCGACTATGTCTTCGAGATTGGCCAAGGTTTCTAGGTGGATGTGCAAAAAACTTTTGATCAACAAAATTAAAATTTCTAACTCAACATTTTCATAGGGCTAACAATGTCTTACCGATTAAAAATATGTGTGTACTTTGTTTGGGGCGAAAGGGAAAAAGAAAAAGATTAGAAGAGAAGGCAGTAAAAATCTTTAGATACTGATTGTAGATATAAATTAAATCATTCATAAATTTTGCAGTCCAACTGCTGGTAGCAAAATGATGTCGAAGTTGTTAAAAAGAAAGATTATATAATCCCTAAATTCGTATTGCTTGGATACAAATTTTCTGAATAATGTTCATTTTGAAATTACTATGAGGTCCATCAATATAAAAAAGCTCTCCGTATTCTCACATGATTAATGCAAAATTTGTTTCTTACTGCGCGGACCGCGCCGAAATGTAGGAGATATTTAGTAATGAAAACTTAACTTTAGATATTTCAAAGAATAACTTGGTTGATTGATTTATATACTTTTGGTAATTTTGAGTTTTTAATTCGATAATAATTATCTCCCTCTATTCATGTTTTCTGGGCATTTTTAAATTCGTCAAAAATGAATATAAGCACCATTAACTTGGTTCATATAGTTTTCGTTTTGAAAAGGATTATAATTTAGTAACATTCGATTTCCTATTGGGCATGGTATGAAGAGGCTCTTAAATAAGAGTCGAATATTTTTATGTTTCAAAGAGAAAATGTTGTTGAAATTTACATTTAGTATCCGTAAAGAAGGATGTAAATATGATGAAGTAAAATTAGATTAGAGAACCGTAAGATTGCTTCGAAGCTCCTGAAGTTTTCTATTTTGCTTAAGCATATCCCATACCATTTGCGGTAAAAGGGTATATTAAGTTTGTGCCTAAAGGACTCTGACAATAGATTCACTCCTTATTATACCGATCGATTCAGAATCATTTTTTGCATAGGCTTTAACTGTCCATCCATCCGTCCGTTTTGTATTTCGTGCTCAAAGTACAATCGCGAATTGTTGAGATATTTTCATGAAATATCGTCTTCCGACATGTTTTGGATTTTGGGCGATTCGAAACACTTTTTTGACCACTTCACCTTCTTTTGAAAAGACGTCGACGTATGAATAACTGCATTAAGGGAAGCGGTGTAGGGTATTTAATAGTGGATCATGGCCTATTAGAAGGTTTTTACCCATTTTTTATTTGAAATATATTGTTTTAAGAATAGTTTATCCGCCTGAGTAGCCGAAGGCGAGGAATCTCGACTAGGAAGTCAATGGTCGTGGGTTCGAATCTCAAGTGCGGTAGAGTTTTTAATAAAAGCCGATAGCCTTAGATGCTCGTGCTTTTACGAGTTTAGTCTTAGAATTTATTTCTCTGGCGAAATTAATAACAATAATAATAAGAATAGTTTATAAGAGAAATTCGCAAAACAGTGAAACAGTTTTCGTTCGAAAATGTCGTTGACATTTGTTCCGATATAGGGACAAATATTTCTCAATTTATTCACTGAAATGTTTCTCTTTGGAATGTTAAGAATATTTACTAAAATGAAAGACAAAATGATAATAGAAGATCGACGATCTTCTTGAAAATTAGAAGCGACCTTGATAATAGTACTTATAACATAATTTATCCAGTTGTATGCTTACAACTTGACTTTAAACAAGGTAAGTGCATAATTGTTTTTATTGCAATTCAAGACAATTTTTATTAAATCTAACCATGTTCAGATGATGTTACATTAATTTATCATTAAGAGGAGATCATCGTCGTAGTACGCAACTGTTATAATGCCTTATCCCTTAGATACTTTACAGGGAGTTGCTTAAAAAGGGGAAAAAAGTATGAAGGATATCATTTTGAAATGTAAACCATATTTTTGGACAAAACGGCTTATATTCTGTTCTTTTTCTATTTATTATAAAGCCATTACTGCCAACAGGCATATTTAAGGCATTTTGCGTTGTAACATATGCTATTGAAACACTGCAAGAATTCTTAAGGATGTTTAGAGGTAGCTGCGTGCCACCTAAACATAGCCTTTATTATCCCTTATATGTTTATTTGCTAACCTCTCGTAATCATGATGACGACGCCACATATCCTTACCTCGTTCACTTTTGGCACTGGGCCACATTGACCGGTTGGCAATAACACGAACGCCAACAAAGTCACAATCAGTAAATAATAAATTTTTAATAACATTTTATAAATAAAAAAATTTTCAATTTAATTAAATCAATTTTACTTTTTTTTTTGCTTTATATGCACTTATTAACTGCAATTGCAATTATGCCGTTCTTTTTATATTTAAACTTTTCCTCTTTTTTTTTTTTTTTTTTTTTTTTATTTTTTTTTAAAAAAAATTTTTAAATACTGATATTTTTTTATTTTTTTTTTTTTTTTTTTATTTTTTTTTATTATTATTATTATTTTTGCTTCCGCCTTATGCTCTACAGAAGGGCAACACAATATAAAATCTGAGATTCGGTAGCAAGTGCACGGCTTTTATAACCATTGACACATAAACCCAGTAAATGTAAATAAATTGTTTGTGCCTTTTCCTAGTTAAAGAACAAACGCATGAAGTAGTAGTGAACAACGTTCCAACTTACACTGATTCACAGTTTGATGCTGTGCGTTGCTGTTGCTGTTTGCATTGTGCCGGTAATCAGGCACGATGCTCAAATTTTTTATTTTGTTTACAATTAGAGATACAACAATTGGATTTTTGAGTATGCTCGAAACTCACGTTTGCTCAGTCGTTTACACAAATACAATGAATTTGTTGCTTTAGGCGTAGTGTTTTTATTATAGTTGTGCGATAAATACGTTTCACTAACAGTTATTGAATACAATTATGTTATGAATGTTGAGACATAGTTCGTAGAATTTTTAAAGAAATTGAAAAAAGATTATAAGCTCATCGCATAAAAAACAAAATATTTTTGAATAGAAATATAAGAATTTTTCGAAAATACGCAACTAGCACTTTAAGAGTATACTAAACGTGTTATCCCATTTGAAACACATCTAGAAATATGTACCAAATGTCTCATAAAGTTTGCATGCTCTTAGTTAGTGTAAGATTCGTGCCACTTTAGCTAAGTCCGCGTTGGTCTGCACCCTTTTTGTGGTTGCAAAAATTAAATTGAAACACAAAAGTTCATCTAATTTTAGCGTACTAACTATAAAAAAAATCTACGCATAGGCGTGATGTACTCGTACCGGAAATTGGACCTTAGAAATTGGTTAGATACTAATTTAAAATTTGCTATGTTTTCTACCTTACACCACTTGTGACACAGGATATATTAAATTTGAGCAGACGTATGCAACACGCAGAAGGTCTTAAGAAAGAGGCAACTTATTATTACGCCAATCGATTCAGAGAGTAATTCTAAGACTGTCTGTCCGTCTGATCTCTGTCGATTTAAATCTGTGTTCAAGCTACAGAGTGTAATTTTTGAGACATTTTCATGAAATTTGATATAAAGACGAGTTTTGACCAAAGAACGAATGTTATTGAAACTAGTTCCGATCGGTCCGCTTTTTCGGCGCCTTATTTCGAAAAATCCTTATATGAGAAATAGTTCCAGTAATTAAAATTTCGCAACGACAATGGCTAAGTAATAGTACTTCGGCATTTTAAATTGATGTGAAACCTTTGGATCCTTTCAATAGAAAGCGATTGCCTTTGTGATGGAAGAGCCTAATTTTAAATGTTTCTTGATGGAAACTTGTTCACAATAATTATTTGACATAAAAGTTGAACTTATCGAATTCGAATCTCTTGTTTTCGGAATTCATTTTTTTTTCTGGATTCCATTCCACATAAGGCTTCTCTGGAAAAAGAAGTCTTTATATGACAAAAATGCCCAGTTTTTCATATTTTGTGATGAAAGTTGGTTCGTAGGGCTAATATGAAATAGACCTTAAATATATTAAATTTGGATCAAGTAGGTCTATTTTTTGGACGCCATCGCACGCAAGGATTTTGATGCCAAGATGCGGTATAGTATCATTGTAAAAATTAGCCATACGGAGTTTCGATCGCAGATATCTGCTATTTGCTCTCTCGTGAAACCAAACTCTTCTATGGCGATAAAGTTTAAATTGTAATTTTTATGGCAAAAGAAACCGCAAAATAGTAAAATGTTTGACAAGTAAATTAAGTTTGCCGTACTAGTCGATGTATTCACCATCCAGAAACACGCAAAGTACGCCTTTACAGAGAAAGAATATATATAATTTTTGGTGGACTATCGCGATAATGACGCAATAACTATACTAAGTAAAGTAGTGTACGATATCTAATAGTTGGACTTGTCCGACTATGGTACTCTTACTTGTTTTGCCAAGAGCTTTTAAACCTTTACTCCGAAAATGGCTGATCAACCTATAAAGGCAACCAAATACCCAGCTAACAGTTGTATTAATAATACTTGAAAGCTATTTTGATATATACCTTTGCTTTTTTGAGTACATTTAGGATGATAGTTTCTATTTTGATCATCGCTTGTGTCACAGGAAAATGAAATACCTGTCTGCTTATGGGCTAAAGGGCTAGAGGTCAATATTTTATATATTTTCGAAACTTTTTTTTTAAGCAAAAGTCTCGAGCAAATACCAGCTTTTTACTTACTTGGTTAGAGTTGTTTTCATATCTACACCGCCTTGCCTTGCCACCGCCCAAAGTATTAAACGCAAGAACACTAATGGCTTAAAGTCGGGTTTATACACGATTTTAAGGGTGAATAGAATCTGGGCTAGAATCTGAAATTTAATTTAATTTCATTATCTGGCATTACATCATTCTTGCTTTTGACATTCTCTGTAACGTGCAGTTAAGTTCGTTTAATTTAAACGATAACATATATTTTTATTAAAAACCATAAAGAGAAAAAATTTTTTTAACTACTACTTGAATGTTTGACCTCTTAATTTGTTGTGTTATGATGCGTCTGTTTTGTTTCTTTCTTGTTTTCCTTTTCTTTTTTTTTTTGTTTCCATGAAAACTATTTTAATAAAAATAATAATTAAAGCTGGTCTTAAAACTTGATTTGGTTTTTGTAATATTATCGCACTTAGCGCATAAACTTGAGGTACTTAATGGATTTGGGGTCGTTGTCTAATTGAACTGTCATCTGGCATCGCATTTATTTCATTTATTAATAATTTTACATTTGTTTTATTTTGTTTTCCTAAACAAATAATAAAGAAAATCAAATTGAGCGGGAAGTTTGGAAATTTTTTATTGATTTTTAACAAAAGTTTTAATCGCATTTCACGCGACATGTTTACTTTTATTTCTTTTTATTTATTTTTTTTTTTTTTTTGATTGAATAAAATTTGTTTTTACTATACATACACCCCATTTGATACCGGAACAGACTTGTACAAGCAGCTTTTTGTATTTCAATCAACAATTATCAATAAATTTAAACTTTTACTTCCAGCATTTTATTTAGAATTGATAACCTCTTACTTTTCAATTTAAATTTTAATATTATTATTGTTAAGTTTATTTACCTGAATCTTTCAATGGAAATTTCATGTTTTCTGAAGAAATTAAAAAAATTAAATTGTGTACAAAAAAAAAAAAAAAAAAAACAAACTATCATAATGAAAACAATCTTAATGATTAACAAGTAAGAAAATTATATTCAGTCGGGACTAAATCTTTTATATCCACTATATTGAAAGAGTTAAACTTTTATACCCAATAACATAGCGTGAGCGCGGCTTTTCACAATAAGGGTGGAAATTTACATGGTGTATACGTTATATTGAATGAGTGAGAAACAAACGTGTTCCCAGTTTTCTTTCAATAGACATGTGGGCGGGGCCTTTGAAAAGTTTGGCACATTTTTAAATATGTTTGTAAGCGATGTCCTCATTTTTGTGCATGGACGAATGTTTACCGTAGATACTACAAAGTTGTGCAGACGGAAGGATGGATAGATGAAAAGACGGACGTGCTTAGGTGCATTCTGAATGTTAAACTGGTCAAGAATTTATATGCTTTACGGGATTTTTGAAGCTTGTTCTGCACGTTATAAAGAGATACGTTGCAATTTTGGGGAGGTGTGGTCAATTTTTTCCCACTTTCGTGGAGGTGCTACAGCCTGTACATTGAATTTTTGTAGATTTATCTGCTGTAGTTGATGGATGGATTATGAGCAAAAAACCAATTATTTTATTTCTTTTGAAAAGCAGAAGTGTTCTCAGTTCACGTAATGAACTGAATATGTGTATTCATCGACCGATTTGGCCCATTTTCAATAGCGACCTGCGCGCAAAAATTTCCAATGTTTCCGCTAAAATTGAAGTCGATGGCTTTATTTTTGGTTACGCTGAAGACATTTCCTACGTTTTCCTAAAGCGACGTGCTTTGAGGTGGGATATCAACGGCTACTTGATTGACCTTAGTTCGCATCCTTTCGTTGTATGAGGGTGAGCTCTTCAGTCTTGGGTGGGGCTCTGCAGTCTTGTCAGAAGCTATCCTTCTTTCTGGTATAGTAGTGTGGCGGAAATCCCTTTCCACGTTTGAGCTTTGCTCATACATCTTTCCCAGGGTATCGTTTCCCTTATTAACGAAAAAACTCGAAAGTTTCAGGTTGTATGAGACTTGATGTAAAATCTAACCAAAGGCTTTTATTATGCTTCTTTTATTATTTTATTCTCCCTTATTTCTTGTACCATGGGTATCAGGAGCCCTGAAGCAATTTCCTGGTTTTGACCTGACAGCTGGAACGGCCCATTCGGAGTTGCGTGACTATGATTGCCTCTATATTTTGGGATATCAAATATTTGACGTAATGGATAGGCGTCGACCCGTCAGAGGGAAAAAAATGCTAAATGCATACTCTTATATTAGAACTGCAAGATAGTCTTGCTTGTTCACTTTGTGGCGTGAGTGACGGTTTTCCGCTCTCACTCCATCAGACACCGTAAGGTTGAGCTTTCCTGGCAGGTCTCTACGTGACCACCCTGTTACTTTGCAGTATAATCTATCTTATGGTTTTTGATTGAGCTGAACCTAATTGCTAAGGTGAAGCACTTTTGCGCATACATCCGACCATTGCACATACATTCAGTTACGTTTGCCTGTTTTTCATTCTGCTTATTCATTTACAAAGATGACAATTGGTCCCAAAACGTTTGGGGCAACAAACCTGGCCTCGACTACTTATCTTTCGGTTCAATCGAAAAATGAACGAAATAGGTCTGAAGACCTATCTACTTTTTCTTAGATTCCAATTTGAAAAAGTTTTTTATCCGAGCTCTAAGAGATTTTAAGATGATGCTTTTAATCCTAAAGACATACCGGCAACAACTACTAAACTTATGCCTGCCGTTCGGCAATTATGTTTTGTCGAATATTTAAGGCACATATTTATATACGACAGCCACAATAGCATGTAATCAGATACAATGTCCTCTGTCTTGCAGAGGATAAAAAAAAAAAAATAGAACAAAATATATTCATTAGTAGTTTACAGAAGCCATTACGCGATCAGAACTCTAGCTCAGGCTTTCAAAAACTGTACCGTAATGAACGGAGAGCGAACGACCACTCCCTCTTTTCAGTATCCAAATGGCATTTAAATAAGCCCAAGTCTTTATTGAATCCACATTTCGTTTTCAAAACTTTTTCAAGTTTTCACTTTTTTATTGTATTTTCTTTATTATTATTTTACCATAAATTTATCCATTCGATTAAAAATTGAAAGATTCTAAATTCATCATTGGTACAATTTTCTGTTTACACATTTATTCTTTCAGTTTATGAGTATGGCGGTGCACACTATGCCACCCATAAGCCTTCTCTGTGAGGACTTTGTAAAATCTATGCTAAGATCGGTTGATGATAACAGTTGTCCAGCGAATCCGGCAGAGACGTCTGCGACGATGCATCTTAATGGTGACATTGAAATGAACGGTGTTGTGGAGGGAAGTGACAGCGAAGATGATAACAATTGTCAAGGTGATCGGAATACGGCGACTGAGAGTAAGAATGCAACCAAACGTAAAGATATTTTAATGAAAACAGAAGAATTACGAAAGCAAAATAAACAACTGAATGTCACAGCAGAAAAAGAAGAAGAGAGCAGGCTACGACTTATAGCGCAACAGACATTTGAGTTTGATTTTTAAAATTTTTTTATTTATTTTATTTAATATTTTTTTTTTTTTTTTTTTTTTTTTTTTTTAAACTTAAACTCTAATGACTATTTTTTATTGTGTAAAATAATGTAAATAGTTTACAAAAAATAAAAGCATGTAAACTGTAAACTTAAGTCAACATAATGTAATTAAAAAAGTGCAAAAAAAAAATAAATTTAGAAGGATTTCTAAAACAAAATTTTTTAATATTTATGTAGTAGACCAGCATGACTTAAAACTTTATAAATTTCCCTTCTGGAAATTTTTTCAGCTTGTCGTTCTAATACCTTTAAAAATAAAAAAAATAAAAAATTATTATTTAATATAAATAAATGCATTTATGAATTGAAAGCAAATTTTACCGGTATTTCGCCTGGTCCAAACCAGGAGGACTCGGCTAAAGCCGCTCTCACTCGTGGCGTCTTATAAAAAGGATTCTTGAATTCATACGGTAAGCTATCCTCCCAGGCGTCATTTTCCAGCACCGCTATATGTTGATAACGATTCAATTGCGGACGGCAGGCCACCAAGATAAGACAAAACAATAAACTGAATAAATTTAAAAATAAACGAAACCTAAAAATAAATCAAGTTAATCTTTAGAGGATTTAAATCTTTAATTAAGAAAAACTTCAAAATAATCAATTGCTTTAATGAGGTGAGAATATCAATTATTCTATATACTAAGGAATACTTAATCAAGAATATTCGGTTGACACTTATACACGAAAAACAATGCATATCCATGCATTTTTACCTAATCTATGTGAAAAGTATCCGAAATTTGTTAGCAGTTTATCCATATAATAAGTAAGAAAATGATAAGCTCTTCGGTTCTAATTTTTGATCTTCATTGCCAATAAAACAATGCAATAAATGCAGGTGTGTCAATTGGTCTATAGAAGCCATCATTATACTTGTGTACTTGTATTTTAGACAACTTTATGAAATGTTTATACTAAGCCTTAGGTCAATACCATTTGTCCGGATTTTAAGCTAGAGCTCTTAGCCTTAGCTATGAGCATATCTGCAGAAGGATCCAATGTATTTTTTTTTGTTGAGTTTTCCGACTGTTCACCTGTGCGCTTTTACAAAGTTGCAAGCATTTGTTTGTTGGGATTGTGGAAGACTCGCATTCGTTTTCGATCTTGACCTCTAGGCGTAAATCAGGAGTGTACAGAAATTGGTTTATCTCAAAAATGGACAGATGGACGGATAGGATTGACCCGGAATATATGCATATGGAAGACTTGCATTCGTTTTCGATCTTGACCTCTAGGCGTAAATCAGGAGTGTACAGAAATTGGTTTATCTCAAAAATGGACGGATAGGATTGACCCGGAATATATGCATTTTATGAGTTTTTCCTGCAACGCATAATTAATTCCTTTGGTGATGTGCATAAAATATTTACTTTTACGTCTCGGCCCGCAGTTCAACTTTGTTAAGCCTTGTCTTTTCAAGATATGGGTTCGATGTACACTCGATACTCGATATCGAGTAAACTCGATCGTAATTTTTACGTTTAGGTTTATAGTTCTCGAGCCGATGCACCGAGTTGTGTAAACTCACAAAGACAAGAATGCCGGTCGAATCTATTATCCTCTCGATATCGAGAACTGTGATCTACCCAAAGTTGTTTTCACCACTATTATCAGCAAACGCCCTTTCTTATCCCTATGTATTTCGGTACGCTATGTTACATTCATATTTAGCTAAATAATTAAATTGGTCAGATTTAAAATATATACTTCCGTTATATAAAAAATTTAGTTTGTTTACATTCTTCAGCAATGATCAATACAAGCAATAAAACTCGTTCTACGTAACGTCATTTGTAATATCGTAAGTTCCCTTAAACAGCAGCAACTTACTATAGCTTGAAAAGCAACAGCAAAAACTTCACCAAAAGCATATACATACAATTTCCAGCGAATAGTTTTAATGAACTTGAAATATTCGAATAATTAAAGAAAAGTGAATGTAGAGTGAAACTCGAAAAACTTAATAATTAGTCTGCGAATATTTTTAAATAAGGAAATATACATTGATTGACCTAATTATTGATTGAATGCAGCGTTCGATATCGAGAGAATTCGAAAGTAATTTTCAATTTTGAGACGATCGATTCCAATATCGAAGAGCTTGCAAATATTTTTTCGATTAAGATTTTCATTCCATTCATATTTTTCGAAAACAGAATTTTCATTGCGTATCGCGTGAACAATATGAAGTGGAGCACAGTTAAAGGAAATATGAAGTGGAGGACATAAAGAATACAATTAATGCACATACAAAGACTATCTAATCTCGTTGACGATGATGATAATTAAAATAAATAATGATTTTTGAAGCTTTTTCCCAAGATCTTGTTATCTAGCTATCGTACGATACGATTCGCCAAAACGATACGACCGCTATCGACTTAGCTTAATAATAAGAACTGCAAAACGACTCCTATGGCTCCCGTAAAATAAAAGGAAGAAAGAATTTGTTAAGAAAAAAGTCTCTAAAGTGCGGGTTAAAGGACTATCACAAACTACACAAAACAGTGCAATGGCAAATAAAACGAAGAAAAAGTGAAACATAGTCACCTCAGGCACTGAAAATGTAAGTATTGTAAAAAGCCATTTAAAGAAAAAAGCAGAGCATTAAAAATCTCCAACGGCAGCATAAAAAGAATTCGTCGACATGAAGAAACGGTCTCCACAAGTGGAGGAAAAACACTATGAATTTCCTCGAGACAAAAGGAAAATTAAGTTAGACGAAAGATTAATAAGTTCCGATATATTTATTTGAATTTATTAAAATTTTATTTAAAAAAGTTTTAAAAAGGTTTCCTGCACAAAGTTCCTCTGAACTACTTTGTGTTGTAGTGGCTGTCATATGGCGAACCACAAAGCACAAATGCTGCGTAAAGCAGGATAAAAATGTATGTTGATATTTTAGTTTTATTTCAGTTTTTAATTGAATAAATTAAAAATATTTTGTTTTAGCTTTTTGTTTAATTTGTTCCCTCTTCTTTGCATATACATTGTTACTCACGCATCCAGTGCATGATGAAAAAGTTCGTAGAGCATGCAACGAATAAAAAGTTTCAAAAGCAAATGAATGCCATCATCTGACGTAACAATAGCATTGTAATTGCGTTTTAACACATGACGTCACTCTATATCGAAAGCGGGAACTCGGCCTTTGGCAATGTTTTTGCAAAACGTTCATATATGCAACTTCCATCAAAGAACAACATTTAACAGAGGCACAACATTTTTGAATTGGTAATAAATTTCATATATGTATGTATAACTTTAATAACGAGCACCCCATACTGAAGTGAATCTATATTAAATATTACAGCCAAGCAAAATGGCGAACAGTTATGTACAGGTACCGGAAGATCATATATCCGGAATATATTTATGAATAAGTTGAAATTTGATATTCGAATGAGCTCAACCGTGTAATAGCGTACATCAGAGGTAGACAACTTATTTCGTTAACGTGCCATTTTTAATTTTCATATCACTGCGGAAGTCAGAATAAGGTCCGGTAGAGCAGGCAGACACAATCAGCAATTTAAATTATTTGAAATTTTAAACGAAGCATGCCGGATGCGTTTTGTGGGCCGGTAGTTGCCCATGCCTGCCCTACACCATTGCATAAGATGCATAGAATACCTAAAATTAAGCTTTGTTGTCGTATAAGGGCTCAATTTGCAAAAGAACCCTTTTGTTGAAGAAGATTCAGAAAATAAGAGAATGCGATTAAAATTCCGCTTTGTAAAGTTAGTTAGTTTTATATCAAATTATGATTCTGTACCAGTTGTCCTCATAACATATAAAATGTTTCTTTCTTGTTGCCCGACCAAGGTTTAATTTTTGTGGGGATCTTTATGGAGGAATGCGTTCGAAAAATAGAACTAGAAAGTCAACTCGCTACTTCAGACCAGTCTTTGTTATAAGAGACCCGAAACTGGACTTTGTTTATTTTGGAAGAATATATGTAAGGGTGTTCAAAAAATTAACTATCTCACCTAAAGTTTCCACTTTCATTTAATATGTGAAACCAATGCTTGATAACGGCAAGTTAAACAAGTAAAAGCACTAATAAAACACGGCCTGCAATTAAATACTTACCACCACCACTTCGCTTAATACAATTATGCATATAAAGACTTTTCAACATAACACTCCCCAAGTGTTCCGATCCGAATAGCCTTTCATAGCCTTTGCCCTTAGGCCACAATTTCATCAAAATATGTGAAAAAGTGCGTTGAATACAATGGAACAAGACAGATAGACAGACAGACGGACAACCAAGCTTAGAATCACTTTCTGAATCGATCGCTATAGTAAAAAGTGGTCCAACTCAAATACTTCGAAGTGTTCAATACAACCGCGCAAACTTAATAAACACTTCTATCACAAATGGTGTAGGGTATATATTGGCATTTATTTTTATGTCGCGAAAGTTCGCGAGCTGCAGGTTAAATACAAAAATATATGCACACCAATGCGATTCACAAAATGGTTCGTACAATAAAATGGTGATCTACTACAAGTCGTTCAAAGTGTTAATACGTTCGCAATACCTTGTCGTGTCACAAGTCGTATGTATAGAGTGTAAAAAGAAAACCAGACATTTTTTTATTGATTTTTAAAAAAATGTGAAAACAATTTTTGCTAATTTTGAGAATTTATTCCGGTTCGAAATGAAACAGTACCCGATAAAAGCTCTTATTATGCATTTTAATTACCGGACATTGATAGGAAAAGATATTCAAGGAAATATTAACCCACTTTTTTCGAAATGAAAATCTGCATATAAAAGTCAAATAATTCGTTTCGTTAATTTTTTTAGATAAATTTGAAACTTTGCTTGGGTAAGCCAGTTATTCACGTATGAATAGTTGCTTGCTATTGAGAGGACAAGGAATTGAATTGAATGAATAATGTAATAAATATGCTGGAAATATGTGACGGGTATGCTCTACGCGTGTGTATACGCACTTCCGCATATGCGCGCACTTGCAATTGTATTCCCTTGCTTGAATCATAGCAGTTGGCGATTTTCCGTTTCGTTTTGGAAAAGTCTATAAAAAAAACTGACATTCCAACTTTCATTTGATTTTAATTTTAACTATGCGGTTTGCAGTTTACTTACAAATGGTTTTAATAACTACATCCAAGTGAGTTTATTAGAATGTATACTACGTTCGAAAAAGCACTATAATCACCATCGGGAATCGCAAAGAAATTTGTAAAGTGACCTAAAAAAGCTGACAGTATTCTCGAAATAATGAAAATGTTGCAGCATGGGGAAAAAGCGTTGGATAGTCGGGATGTATTCAGAATCCATTATAGATTACAGTTCGTTTTCAATGTAAAACGAGAATGGATAAGAAATGCAAATATTTTTTTTATTTAGAGATTTATATTAGTGCATTTATATGCGAGGTATTCTGTATTCGGTTTTCACTCAACAATGCTCAGTCTCTTATTTCATTGATATACATATACATATATATATATATATATATATATATATATATATATATTTATGGGAGAAAAGTGGTG